ACTCCATGAATGTGGTTCTGAAAGGTCATATGGCAAGTGTCAGCCTTTTTATGACAACACTGTACTCTCTTGTAAGTGCCTGAATATGGCCCTTGGGAATGCTAACTAAAACAACAAGGAAAGGTTTATGATGCTAAGTCCTTCACTACAAACATTTCATCTCTTGTTACAGCCATGCAAATTATTATAGGTCCATTGACAATGGGAAAAATTTACTGAGCTTAAAACAAATCAGACAGTATTAAACGGTATAAAAAGTAAAATGGAAAAAATATGTCAAAAAGCTTTGGGATCACTTAAGTTACTAAGCTAACTGTCTTAAAAGTGTATATAGGTCTTATGAATATATTGTATACTAGAAAATTCTTGGTAAGCTCATTGAGTTTCTTGTGTAACCATGTGCAACACAATTGGAATAAACCTACTAAAGCCTTACCTACTTCTTATGTTCAGACTACATGAGAGTTTCTTCATTCTTCTTCATCTATGCAGTTAATGTGTTCCCACTATGTTTTAAGGACAATGGAAAATGCTGACATATGGAGATGTGTAAGAAAATTGTTCTTAAGGAGCCTGTGCAAATGTACTCATTCCTCATTCTTTTCTTTCTGTTTTGGCACCTCTAAAATTATTAAGTGAAAAATATTAATCTAATAATTTATGCAGAAAAGAATAAGTTAAATGTTACATTGCTCACTTTTAGAAAACTAATCTGAGCCTCATGCACACCCACTCCAGTATCTTTATAAAATATCTACTCTTTTCTGCTAGCTCACTCCTCCAGGGTCTTGCATCCCTTTCACTTTAGGGCAAGGATTGGCAAACTTTTCTGTAAAAAGTCAGTAGATATTTTAGGCCTTGTGACTCATACAGTCTTTGTCACAACTACCCAATTCTTCTGCTTTAGGTGAAGGTAGCTATAGATAATACATAAATGACTGACCATAAGTATATTCCAATAAAACTTTATTTGTAGACACTGAAATTTTCATTGCATATCATTTTCATGTATTATGAATATTATTCTTTTAATTTTTCAACTATTTAAAAATGCAAAAAACATCTTTGAGAATTATACAAAAGCAGGCATTAGGCCAAATTTGTCCCATGGGTTGTAGTATGACGACTCCTGGTCTAGTGGCAATGCTGCTTCTTCAAGGGCTGAGTAACTTTCTCTCAATCACAGTCCAAATGAAAACTCTCTAAAGATGGTTCTGTTTGTACAGTTTTCCCATATGACACATTCAAAACTTTAGGGATCATCAATATGCCCATAATTTTCCATTGGTTGTCCCACTTTATTAGCTGGTCCATTAAAAAATATTTTAAACATTTACAGGGACTTATTCTACTTTTCATCATAACAAGTATATATAAAATAATGTATGGGTGTTAGAACAGGAAACTAGGATAACAGGAGTATCGGTTCTGTTCTCAGTCAGTTCTTTGACTGGATAAATAACCCGACTGCTTCACATCTCCTTTTCTTTGTCTGGAAAGTCAGAATTGTCAGGTGTTGTTACTAAACAGTTATGTTAAATGTTAAAGTACATGGTAGGTGGTGGTGGGTGTGATTACCTTTGTATCTTCCAGAGTTACCACATTTTCAGAAAAAAAAAAAGTTTACTTTTTAGTACCATCACATACAACTGAAAAGATGAATATTTCTGAAGAGGAATAGGGCGGGTGATTTGTTCTGAACATTTTGATGTAGAAAATCTAAACCCAAAGATGACATCAAGCAAACTATAGCACAAAATACACATATGTAAAACCTCATGGTTTTCCTATGTGCCTACTATTAACAGGAGAGGTTTGGTTTAGGGGTCTGTAAAAATGTTTTCTTTCTTTAAGTACAACGCTCAGAGCCAAGACATCATCAGCTTCAGGCTCAGTCAGTTTCAGTCGAAAGTGTGAATGTTCAGCAAAAGGATGTTTTTGAAAGGAGACTGAAAACTCACTGTGCCAGATACCTGAAACGTTGTTAGGGTATTCAGTGGAAAATTACATTTCCACATTATAAATAACTGTAGAATATTTTAAGAGATCCAAGACTAGTAACTTCCAAGAGCTGCTTATATTAGTTCCACTGAAATGTGAAATGGAGGAAGGATACCGAGAAAGGCTATAAAGCTGAGTTACTGGATATGATTAATTAAAATAAATAATCTCACTATTAATTAAATTGCCCTTAAAATCCTCAACCACTGAGGCCTGCATAGTTTGCTATCCACCAAATAAAACAAAGGACAAAACAGCGATGGAGAAAAAAGGAGGAAAAGTCCCCAAGGTAACTTCTTAAATTCATTCTAGAATTTTTTATTTGGAAAGTCCCTCTGGTGGTCCATATTTGAAATATGAATTGTTTCTTATTGTCTTCAAAGTTCCAGGAGTTCTCTGTTCTATGAACTTCCTGGGAGGAGGACAATCCCAGAAAAGGTGGCATATCACCCACCATGGTAGTTATGGAATTTTGATCTCACTTTTACCACAGAAATAATCAATTCCCATAACTGCTTCCCCCTCTTTGCAGTCCCCACAGATTTAAAAACAAAAAATGAGCCAGGGATCTCTGTTAGACAGTCGCACAACATGCCCAAAGCATAACTAGCCCCCTAAAAAGAAAAAAAAAAAGGCAGGAAAAAAAGCTATGAGTGTGAGTGCGTGTGTATTTATGTGTGAGTGCGTGTCTATTTATGTGTGTCTGCGTGTGGACGTGCAAGAATGTGTGTCCGAGTGCACGTGAGCGGATGTGTAAGGTAGAACAGCAATGGATGCTGTCTCTCTCTTTTGAGGGGAAAGCCTGGCTTCCCTTCCCGGATCGGCCGCCTGTGGGACTCGAGAGACCTGTGCACGCAGGGGACGCGGCGGTGCCCGGGGTTAGAGCTCTCCCCTGTGACCGAAAAGATAATTAAAAATCGCACGCGCGGGAGCCAGCTCAGCTCCTGGCTGCGCTTCCAGTTGGTCCGGTCTGGCTAAATGGGTTTTCGCATCCTGGCGGCGCCCGGGCTGGGAGGCCAGTAGGCCGGGCGCGAAGAGTAGGTTGGGGACCAGGTGTCATAGCGGATGGCGCAGAATCGCTTCTCGGAGTCACCGAGGGTGGCAGTGGCAGTGGCAGGCGGCCGTGGGGGCGGGAGTGGAGCGGCGCGGGGTTCATGCCTGTGGAGGGATTTGGGGAAGAGGCAGGAACGTGGAGAGAAACGTGGGAAGGGGAAGACCGACTAGGGAGGCGTGGAGCAGTGCATGGAGGAAGGGCAGGTAAAAATAAAGCCCCAAACAGGAAGGATAGAGCAGTATCCCCTGAACTCCATCCTTACCCCCGCAAGAGCGCACACCTGGCTACCCCGCACCCCCACCTCTGCTCCTGCGGTCTGGTAGACCCTCAGTCCCCCGCGCATCTCTTCAGCGGGGCGATCCTGGTCACCGAGTCACATAACCACAGCCCCGCAAGCTCATCTTGTACTCGAAAGGGCTCCAGAGTCCGCGATTGGCACCAGGCCCCCATATTCCGTGCCCCTCATGCTCTCAGAGCCCTTCCAGGCCCCTTCTAGGGCGCAGACCCGGGCGTGGGCTCAGCGAGTGAGAGCAAAGCTTTAAAACCAGACAGGGAGAGTCGTGGCAGGTTGCTACGAGGGTGAGGGAGGCGTTTGCACTGAGCAATAAAAACACCCAGTAATGGGCATGTGAATTGCTTTAAATAAGATGGGAGGGAGAGATGACCCAACCATCTTTCTTCCTTAATACTTCGAGGAGGAGGCATTCTAATTCTTCATTTATTTTATAAACTCACTTGTTACTGTGTCAGCTACTCCACTAGGAATCTTTGAAACTTTGGCAACTGAAGATTTTTTTCGCAAACACGTTTTCAAGCTTTGGAAGGCTTTAAAGAGTTTGGTAATAAGCAAGAAACGTAGTAGTACACAACGCCGAGGGTAAAACGGCCCTGTGCCCCCTTCTTGGGGTGTAATAGCCTCAAGCGGATTTCCCGGCTTCTGCGGGCGCAGCACATTGTTTTATTTGTTTTGAAGGCTCAGAGTTTGAGGCTGGTCGTAGACACCCACGTGCTCTGACTCTCATCAGCGTAATGATCGCCTTAGCCAAAGTCGTGTCTATATAAACCACAAAAACCTAATCATTAGAAATCCCAGCCTCCAAAAACCACATTTTAGGTAAAAAGTGCCGCTTTTTTTCCGCGCTCCTTCATCCTCTCGACCGCAACTTTTTGGGGGATCCAAAGTCGCTTTTTAAACCCACACTAGGAAATAAATACATAAATAAACAGCCACGGAAGCATTTTGAATTTTTTAGTTCGTATTTTTAATTTTTTCCCGTGAGCGTTGGGGAAGACAGACACGAAACTTAGTCTTAGATGTAGGATAGACTTAATAAAAGATTTAAATTCATGGAAAAAGGCTGGTGCTTTTCCCCAGCAAGGGTTTTGCAACTATTTTAATCACCAAGATGACAGTTTTTCAGTCCTTAAAACAAAAACAAACCAACAACAACAAAAAAAACCTCATTCTTGTTCTCTAGGAATGACAAGATTGAATATATAAGAAAAAAGAAATGTCCAGCTATGCACTTGAGTTCCTAAAAACTACTTTGACTAGTTCTCCCCCCACCCCCCTCATTTTTTTGTGTCATTAAAACAAAAAACACCCAAACCCTGCAAAATCTTTTTCCCCTGGGAGTCGCTCAGACAGAGGTGGGGGGTGGAGGTGGGAGGGTGAAGAGTGCTGAGAAGTCAGCACAGACGCTCAAGAATTTTCCTTCCTCCTCTCCTGAAGTTACAACGAAAAATAGCGACAGTCAGATCAGCCGGGGGCTCTCTGGTGTCTCGGCTTCAATCTCTTCCGACAAAGAGGGGGTTCCTTGTCCTAGGGGTGGGGAGAACAAGAGGACGCGACCAGGCGAGACTGCCCCTAGACTAGGGCCGCCTTTCGGCTTCGGAAGCTGCACAAGGCGCGCGGGGGGCTCCTTCTCGCGGCCGGCTGGCGGCGGCAGCGGCTGCGATTCGCAGGCTCGAGATCCGTTGCCCCGAGATCCGCTGCCCACGACTTACCTCTTAGCACCTTGAAGCGCGAGAGACAGGGGAGCTTTGCAAATTGTAGGAGGGAGTAGATGCAAGGAGGTGGCGGAGCAAGGGCGAGAAGAAAAGAAGGGAAAGGAAGGAGCCTAGCCGGGGAGCCGGGCTGGCAGCCGCCGCGGGAGGAATCTGAGCGTGCAGCCGG